AATTATGGCATTTGCTGGTGAATGGATGGAGCTGGAGAATATCATGCTAAGTAAAATAAGTCAATGTCAAAAAAATCCATATGTGTATGCTAATTCACAATAAAGAGTACAGGTAGAGAAGAATAGAGGTACTTTGGATTAGAAAAAGGGAAATTAAGGGAATGGGAATAGGAAAGATAATAACATGAATCAGATATTACTATCGTATATGCATGTATAATTGTATAACCAATGACATTCTACATCATGTATAACCAGAAGAAGAATTATACTTCACATAATGTATAATATGTCAAATATATTCTATTATGATATATAACTAATTACTACAAATAAAAATAAAATAAATGATTAATAAATGTGGAATAGATGAATCAATATTAAGTATTTACACAACTACTTCATTCACTTTTTTAAGTGTAAACGAGTAGCATAAATTTAAACATGATAATTCAACAAAAATTATCCTTCCATAAACTTTATATAGGAGTCAGAATACAGAATTTTTGCCAGTATTTTTATACCTATGGTCCTAGGAGCAGTTCATAATGTGTCAACAAAGAATCTTCAGTTTAAAGAAAAACGGTCAATAAAATGAGCAATACATCTCACAGAAACATATACACTTTTCATAATTAATCCACCATACTGACTCATTTGGGTGGGAATTTAAAAAAAGAAGGAAAGTCATTTAGTCATGTGAACTCACAATCCATAACCTACTGAGAGACCAGTACAGTGTAAAACTATATAGGCCAGTCCTCAAGTCTGCTGGGTCTGGCTCAGAAATTTTGAATTTCCTAAATCAATACATTTATTTATTATTTATGTTAGCCCACCTTAAATTAGATTTTCCAACTTTTAAATGAAAAGAAAACAGACCAACAGCAAATACTAAGAAGTTCTAAACCACTCTTCTCACTTGTAGTCATCAGTTACTCCTCCATTACATACTACAGAATAACTTCAGAATGACAGATCACAACTGGAAAATAGGATTAGGTCATTCACTCTATAGTATATCCCCATATATAATAGGAAATTTAAACTCTATAACTTATCCCTATTACCTTTACATGCCCACCCATTACTTCCAATTCATATCCCTGTGTAAGTCAACAATTTTGAATATTTACGTTTTCTATGAGCCTAGAATTTCCTTCTCAACTCATTGGGAAAGGAGTTCCCTTACCAGCTAATACTAATAGAGCTTTCTGTGCTTTAAAAGCATTATGATTATAACTCAATCATAGAACATAATTCACTTTACTGCAACTTCTGTCTTGCCAGGCAGCAAACCACTCCCATTAGGGTAACCAACTTCACGACAAAAATCTCTCTTATTTCTCTATTCCCCTTGAAAATACTGAACCTAACTCATCTTTAATGATCAGTAACTGCTAGATGAAAGTACTTTTTATACACTGAAAATAAATTTCATTAAATGAAGACAAATAAGTTCACTGATGGGGTTTTAAATTTTTTTTTTCAATTGTAGTTGGACACAATACCTTTATTTATTTGTTTATTTGTTTGTTTTTATGTGGTGCTGAGGATCAAACCCAGTGCCTCGCGCATGCAAGGTGAGTACTCTACCACTGAGCCCACAATCCGAGGCCCAAGTTAGCCAATTTTTAAAATAAGTGATTTCCTTATATAATAATAAGAAATATGAACTCTAATGTTTAAAGCAAAGCTTATCATTCTAAATAATTGGTCTTGTATAATTGCTTGGCTGATTTGTATGTAAAAAGAAAATGTGATCTCATTTTAAAATTCCAAATTTTAATACCTTAAAATTTTTAAAATGTGATCTCGTATTAAAAATTCCAAATCAAATACCTTAAAATCTCCTTTGTAATAGAATTTGATCCAAAATGCTCTCCGATATTCAAACAAAATCAGAATTTGGGGAAATAAGCAAATGAAATCAGAGGTATTTGATCAATTCAATTTATGATCATTTCACTGAGATGACTAAGAAAAAATTTACAAATAATTATTTTATTCAGGATGCAAAAAATGTTTCCAAAATGTGAATTTTACACTTGAAAAATAAAGATTCATAAAAATATGTTTGATCAGTGTCAGATCAAACATTTATTGATGTTTAGTGCCAGTACTGATAGCATGAACTTAGATAACAGAAGACAGTTCTTCTGAAATCCATATTCAACTTCTATGAAATAGATTAAAAAGTAACCAATATTCTGACTATTTGACATAATTAGAAAATAATACCTAATAAAGTTTAAATGTTAAAATTCAGGAATTCCAAATACAGCATATAATTTTTACACATCAATTGCTTTGCAGCACCATATTGAAAATTAAATATTATGCTTACTCAGTAACTAAAAGATCCCTCCATAGGCAGAATTATTTGGGGAAACTAAGAAGGATAAATTATCCACTAATTAGTGACTTTAATATAGTAGGATTGGAGTACTCATATAATTAGTGCTATAAATTTCCAAGTATTGCTTTATTTACATTCAACAAATTATGATGTGTTTTCATTTTCATTCAATTCAAAACATTTTCTTCATTTGTTTCTGATTTCTTCTTTAAAGTGAGTAATTTGTAGAAGTATTATTTCATTTTCAGATATGTTGGAATTTTCAAGGTATTTGTTATCAATTCCTAATTTAATTCCATTAAACTGAAAAAGTATGTTGGTATGATGCACAACCTTTTTATTATATTGGGTCTTATTTTACATCCAGAATATAGTTGATCCTGGTAATTTCCTATGTGCTTGAAAAGAATATGTTTTTTACTGTGTTGGATGGAGTATTATGTAAATGTCAGTTGTACCATATGAAAAGCATTCAAATCTTCCATATGCTTATTGATTTATGGAAATTTTACCATCTCCAGTGCTCTTTCTTCCTTTCCATAGTCTGTTTCCATCTGATAACATTTTTCTTTTGTCTGACGTACTTTTTTAAAACATTTCCTTCACCACAGCATGCCAGTGATTAATTGCTTCAACTTCACTATGCATAAGCAAGTTTTCATTTTATCTTTATTTTGGAAAGATAATTTCACATTGGTAGTTTCTCTCTTTTAACACTTTTATTAATAGCTTTATTTTATTCATTGATATTCATGTGGTGCTGAGGATTGAACCCAGGGCCTCACACTAGGCAAGCACTCTACCACTGAGCCACAACCCAGCCCCTCTCTTTTAATACTTTAAAAATGTTATTTCCTTGTATCTGTATTATATTATTCCCAGTTAAAAAAACCTCTTGCCATCCTTGTTTCTCTTTACTTTATATGTCTCTTATCTGAATTTTTAAAGTATTCTCCTTATCAGTGGTATTAAGCAATTTGATTATGAAATACCTTGCTATCATTTTCTTGGCCTCTGAGTTTGTTGGATCTGAGTTTATAGTTTTTAATTATTTTTTCTCTCTTTCCCACTATTTTTTGAAATATTTATGTCTTAATTCATCTTACTCCTCTTCCTCCTCCTCCACTTACACTTCAATTATGCATATATTGAGCCACTGGAAATTGTCTCACAGATCACTGATATACTTTTTACTAATTTTTCTCTCTGTGTTTCATTTGGGTAATTTCTATAAATAACTATACTGTCCACCTCTTGATCTTTTCTTATGGGGTGTTCACTGCTTTATACCCAGGAACTTTTCAGCTTAGACACTATGTTATTTATCTCTAGAAGTTAGATTTGTATATTTTTCATATCTTCAATATTTATACTTAGTATATTTAATCTTTACTTTCTTGAACAGATAAAAGGTAATAGTAACTCTTTTGATACACCTATCATTAGTATGTACTACTTCTATCATTTGTGTCATTTCTAGACATTTTTGTTTTGTTATTTTCTACTCATTTTGAATCATGGTTTCCTGTGTATTTACATAACTAGTAATTTTTATTAGATTTTAAACATTATGAACTTAACTTTTTGAAGAACTAGATATTCTTGTGTTCTTAGCATTCCTAAGCTTTGTTTGGAAAACAGTTAAGTTACTTGGCAACAGTTACTCATATAGAAGTTTGCTTTCAAGCTTTATTAGAAAGAACTGAAGCAACGTCAAATCTAGGCCTGAATTTGTTTCATTGCTAGGGCAGTGGTCTGACTATAAAAGGACTTTATTAATTATGAAGGTTTTCCATTTTCTGGCTGATATAAACACAAATTATTCTGTGAATTCTGAGGATTGTTCCCTGTGTTCTTTTTGAGATAATTAAGGTGTCAGCCATGTATAGTTTCCTGATGTGCTGAGTGATACACAGCAAAAGTATCTAAGGTAGATTTCTTTAAATCTTTATAGTTTTTGTTTCTATATCTTTCTCTAAATCTTGTACTCTGCCCTGAAAACTTTAACTACCAGACCTCCCCAGACTCCCAGTTCAGTTATGTGAACCCTGGGAAGCTGCTAAGTTTCACATGGGTTTTCTTTCCTGTGCCAAGTACTGGAAAATCTCTATTGGCAGTAAGCTGGCACAATTATAGGGCTTAGTTCATTTTTCCATTCTTAAGTAATCACAGTTTTAGCTGCAATTTATCAAATGTGTGAAAACTAATCTTTCACATGTGTACTTGTTCATTTTAGTTATTTTGAGGCAGAAATATAAATCTAGTCCATGTAATTCCATTTAGGCTGAAATATTCTAATACAATTAAATGGACATTCTCTGGTCATAGAAAATAAGAATCTATAATACCGAAGTTTCTGAAAGAATTTATAAAACTTTAAAAACAGACAAAGGAAAAAAGATATAATTCACAAAATAAGAAAAAAAATATCTTATTTGAAGAATTTAATATTTCTATACACAAGAACAATGTCTGCCACATAGTGCTCCTAAAATAAATGATAAGTATTGAGTGAATATACCTTAAAAGTACCTCATAGTTTCTTATTTTGATACTATTCAAAATTAGAAAGGGTAACTCATTTAAAGAAATTGGAAAACAAACCCCAATGCTATCCTAAGCCTTAAAAACTGAATAATCTGTGCTCATTTCAGTAGCACATATACTAAAATTGGACTAATACAAAGGAGATTTGCAGGGCCTCTGAACAAGGATGACACACAAATTCGTGAGGAATTCCATACTTTTTTTAGAAACTGATATCTTATAAAAATCTTTCCTAAAATTATTTATTGTGACTTGTCCCAATTGACTGGAAGATTCTTTTCTTTTTTAGTTTTATGATTAACACAGCACATTCACTGATTCAATATTTTAACTTACTCTGAAGTAAGACACACAACAAAAAGATATAGAAGGAAGGTTTTAGAGTGATAATAACCCCATGGAAGGTAAAACATCAATGTGTGAAAATTATTTAAATATAAGTAAACAAATATAGTATAAATATATTTAAATAATTCATAACAGTGTGTGAAAAAGTCAAGATTTTGCAACTAGACCGAGTTTAGGTCCAAATTTTGCCAGTTAGCACCTATAAAACCTTGAGTAAGTTCCTTGAATTCTTTAAAATTTTTACAATTGTATAACAGGCACAAGAAAACTATCTTTCAAACTAATCTGAAAATGCATGTAATATACTTAGTATAACTGTAGTAATAATAGCTTTCTTTATGGGGGTAGAGAATTTACAGAATATCAAGATACCCATCAGCTAGCCTACAGAAGAAGAATCAGGTATATGTCACAATGCTTACAGTAACAGTAACCTTTCAATGCCTCTGGAAATCATTAAAATGATTTATAAATCATAAAATGGTCTGACTAGACAATTATATATTGGGGCAGGGGAGTGAGGGAGAGAAATCAGCTGTCTCATGTGTAAATTTGGACTAATTCCAGGCCTATACCAACTGGAACTTCAATGACTGGTTCAAATTTACATTTTGATCAACATTATCCTATGCCAAACTTATAAATCAAGATACATCTATGAGTAAATACACTTATTTTCCCTGGAATCATCTCCATAACTTATTTTCTTTACACAAATGTCATCTATAAAAGTCAGTACTCTCAGAACTCAAAAACCTGTAGTCAGTCTCTAAGGCACTAATTTCTATAAAGCCTAATTTATGGTAATTAAACATCAAACCACTGTCCACTGTTAATTTTCACAAACATTGAGTATAATTTGAATCTCATGTTCTCATACATAATAACAAAACAAATATGAAATGTGCAAGAATTATGAACACCTATTTGGCTGAATTCATCACATTTACCAAAAACCTATAAAAACAAAAATAATACTCTTAAGGCAAAGGTTTTAAATTTAGGTCCACTTGTCTCTGATAGAAAATAGACAAGTGCCTAACACAGAATATCAGCCTGATATAAGACCACCTCTTTTACAATCTCTTTATCTCTGGTGATCCTTTATGAAATCCAGAAAACTTAATCTTCTCCCACATTTTTTCAACTGCTTATGTTTTACTGCCAAATCCCATTAATTGGGCAAGAAGATGAGAGTTACAGCCACTGGAAAAAATGGAGTGGGAAAAAAGAAGTCAAATCAACTGATTTTGTTTCAATAGTCTGTTAAATCTGCACAATGAGTAAGCCTAACTGTTCTTACTAAATGTAATTAAGTGGTATTTTGTAACTTCTGCTATTAAAAAAGGGATCTTGTATATAATAAAACACCTTTTGTCTTTAAAGAAGAGTGGTAGAATTAGTTATTAATAGTTACTAATAATTTGGGATTACCATCTTAATTTCACAGTAATCAATGTTTTAAAATTGACAATAAATGGACTTCCCCCTTAGTACAATCAAATTTCAATTCAAATAAAGTTTTTGTAGTGACTGTTAAGGAAACAAAGTGCATCAATAATACAGAATGTTTCCTTAAGGATGCACTTTTCCTGCTATGTTTTCATTTCTCCTAGTCACAAATCAATGTTATACTAGGCTATAATTAACAGCCACTTGCCAATTTCACTTAACTGAAACTCATCATTCCTTCAAAATCCATTCTTCTAGCAAGAATAATTTAATAACTTGACTTATTTAAGTTTCTGGTTTGATTCAGATATATAATCTAACCATGAATTGGAAAGCATATTACACATGGGGGGAAAGATATTTTATTAGCATTACATCTGTTTTCAGTATAGCCAATTTTTAAAGAAAGGACAGAAACTGCAATCAATTATTAGATACATATTCACACCTGTTGTCTGTCATGTTTCAAACCCCTTAGGTATGAGCTTTAGTCAAGGCAAATAAAATGAAGAAGGACCAGCTGCAAAATTGGATTTTGTTCTCAATTGGTAATTAAAAGGAAGGATTGTACCATGTGTTGTATACCTGACACTCCCATTACTTCATGTTGGGGGTGGTTCCATTTTTTTTAATAGATCTGTGATACTGTCAAGTCTATTATAAGGGATAGCTTTTATAGGTGAGGCTATTGACCCAATTTGCATTGGTAGTCAGTCCAATTACCTTGTTACATTTCTCCGAGAAGCACAATATATAAAGGTACAAGTAAATATTTCCATTCACAAAATGGAGCTGGGCAAACAAATCCTGTAGTTCTCTGTTTGGCATCTGGAGCACATGGCATACTATCCTCTCCAAAGGGCTTGTGTAGAACTAGACAGAAAACCAATGCATATTCAGGTTCTACAACTTAGCTATATGATTTTGAGGTCATTCAACAATTCTATGTATTAACATATCTAAGCTGTAACAATGGATATAGTATTTACCTCAAATTAAAGGTAAAAAGTATCAAAAGAAAAAGAAAGCTTAAAAATTTAAAGTTAAACTAACCTATTTGACAAGGACAAACTTGTGCTTCAAATGATCTTTATCATTTATCAATATAGTATAAATGACCACAAAAATTATTTTAATCAAGGAAACAAAATGCTACTTGTTATGAATTTTTAACTTAAGTTCTATAGGTTGAGCCAAATGTATGTTATGCTTTAATTATTATTTTAATACTATAAGTATCAAGTATAATTTTATACTTATACAGTTGAATGCAGCCGGGTGTAGGGGCGAGCACCTGTAATCCCAGAAGCTCCAGAGGCTGAGACAGGAGGATCAAGAGTTCCAAGCTAGCCTCAGCAAAAATGAGGTGCTAAGCAACTCAGTAAGTCCCTGTCTCTAAATAAAAACTACAAAATAAGGCTGGAGATGTGGCTCAGTGGTTAAGTGCCCCTTAGTTCAATCCCCAGTACCCAAATAAATAAATAAATAAAAGTTGAATGCTTTTCCAGTCAAGGAAGAAAATACCATATTTTCAATGTCTTCAGAAGATTTATGGAACTGAATAATGTGAAACAAAATGAAGTAAATTCACTTTAGTGAATAAAACAAAAATTTCACTGTAAATTAAAAGAGGTATTTGCAGGTATTGATAAGGTAGTTGCAGCCTCTAGAAAAACATGTTGTTAAATTTTAAGATGTACTAACATTATATGTGAAAAATATGATTCTCCTGACCCAACCATGGAAAATGCTCTACATCTATGAAATAGATTTTCTTTCCAGATCATGAAGAATCTTTATTGAGAAGGCTGTGTATCATAGAGCTGATTGTTTTAAACGGAGAATAAAATGAAAACCCTAGTTCAGAAAATAGAATATGAGTTTCCCTTACCATAAACTTTTGCTGAATATGCTTTAGGGAAATAGAGACAGCAACAATAGAGCAGAACAAGGACAGGTGTGTGTTCTCAGTGATCAATCAGTTCTGCAATAAATCAGTCCCTTTTAGAGGAAGATTTTAAGGCACAGCTGAAGTGTATCAGCTGGGAGAGAGAATCCAATCTCTTCCAAGTTTATTTATGACAAAGCACTATTAACTGAAGTCCAATTTGTTTGTGGAATTGCAGTCATACTGATTCAACTAAACAATAAATGAATCTGCCTTTCATAGTTCCAACTCTAGAGCATAAAAGAAAACAAAAGGGACTTCATCATAACAATACTTCAAATCCAGGGATGCAGTGAAAGGAACAGTGGGAAGGCAGATTTTGGAGTGGTTAAAAAAAATCCCATGGGCTACAAAACACAATTCATTAACCAGAACCACCCGTGTAGTTTTTGCATCAGCAGTATTTCTCCTAGTGAGCCATTTATATCGCACAATGAGCCTGCTGGGAGCTTTTTTTACAATCCCTATTCATTCTTCAGGCTTCATGTAGAAAATTCTGGACATACTTAGATGACCACTCTAAATGTTCCTCAAACTCAAATCAAAGCCTATGGCACAACTAGATTATGATACTGACCAACAGAGAAAATGTTGAGAGACTAAAAGCAGAAGCATGTTGTAATGTCCAGAAAGGAAAGTGAAACCTATAAATATTCCTCCACTAATTAAGTTTTTTGAACTTCAGCATACAATTATTTTTCATAATGATTACATTATTTAGAAATAATCTATTGCCTAGTATTAGATGACTACTACTTCTTAATTTGCTACATGTACTAAACTATATCTTATTGGGAACAAACAGGAAAACTTAACATTTCTGTCACATACTAAATTTCTCTTTGTGCACTTTTCTTGTGACCCAATTACATGAAGGTGAAAATACTCTTATGAAAAAAAATTACTTATTCTTTTTTTTACCTTAAAAAGTGACCCTCTTCAGAAGAAACAACAGGAATTTTTTTATAAATATGGCATAATGTTGCCTTTTTCATTGGCCATTTGATCATTCAAGAAACATTTTTTATTCTGAAAACAAATTATTCATTTATTAGATATTGATTTATGAAATATTTATTATGCTGAAAGTGTTCTATATCATCAGTAATTTTTCATCTAAATATTCTTTTAGAATTAAGAGTCGTAACAGAACTGAATCACTCTGGCAGGAAGGCACACTGTACTGGTAAATTCCCACAGGGATTAGTAATATCCACAACAATAGCTCTTATAGTTCTTCTTCTATTGGGCCATAATCACATGACAGTAGAGTTACTGCTTTAGAAAATAAAAATAATCAATTCTATATTCCTATTTCTTATTGTTCTTAACTAAATATTTACAAACTGATTCTAAGAATTCTTTGGGGAAAACAGTCATATTTTTATTGATCTTTTTTTTTTCAGGAGTGTACTGGAGATTGAACCCACTGAGCTACATCCCCAGACTTTTT